GTAGGCCAAGGTCTTTTTTGCACAATTCAACAGGCAAGAGCCCAAGGCAACCTTATTGCGGTAGCCGATGGGACCAATCTTCGAATACCTCGGACCCGCCTTCTCAAATGAAATGAAAGGTACACCAGTATCAACCTAAAAATTGATAATTGCTAACAATGCAAATGTACAATTTAAATTAGTACTTCTATTTTTTAAATTTTAATGGAGTAAATAATGTTAATCATTAAATATTGTCAGTGATCATTTACATACAATGATGTGAAAAAGTATACGCAAAATAATCCAGGTCATTAATTTTTTTAACCTGGCCTATATAAATATGCATGTTAATATGTTTGACATTTATGGAGTATTTAATAAATTTTAGCCTACTTCACTTGCTAAAAACTCCCGCAAGCTAGAGCGAAGAACTTTTCTTCCATCTGCATATCTAGAAAAAGGTGTCTTCCCAGCTCCCTTAAGTTGAAGTTCCCACCGTTCCTTTTTGATATTGACTATTTCACCCAAATATCTAAAATATAAGCATAAAAGTATAACTATCCAAATCAAGTGATGGATAAATTAACATAGAAACTTAAGGAACATTACATAGCAGCACCATCACCAAGTTGCCCTGCGAAATTGCCAAATTGGATACCGCAATAGCAATGAGCTATTGGATCAGCCCCCGGCCAAACGGAGTTCCCACACAAAAACATTATGAGATCCTCTCTAGCCATAGTGACCTTGTTTTTCAAATCATCTGGTAAGTTGACAGAGGCGTCTGCTAGTTCAGGAGGGAAATCAAGCAACAAAAAGGCTTCTTTGGAGGCCACCACCAGCTTAGGCTTTTCGACTGGTGTAGGCATAACACGAGAAAAACATGCGTTCTTAACTTGACGAACAAAATTTGGTCCATCATCTATAGGAAGCCGCCGAATTACAGTGTTGTCAAAAAGTGGAAGAAGTTTAGCATATTCAATGTAATACTTAGGATAAGTAAGCTGAGCAGCCATAAATTTCATTGACAAAGTAATATTTTGTAGGTTTGTCCCAGAATAAAAATGAAGTATCTTGAGTGTTGCATTTACATCATTGCTAAAATAAATATAAGAATTAAGTTATGCATACTGAGGCATGCAGCAATTATTTAAAGCGATTGACCAAAACTGATAATTGAGTGAAAAGGATAAGGTAGGAAAAAACACTGATGCGTTTTATATAACAAGCTTGATTATTATCAAACAAACGTTTAGTATAAAAAAACAAGTTTAAAAAGCTGATCCACTGTTTCTTTATTGAGGTCAGATGACACCTTCGATATAATATGGATCTACTGGTTTTTATCATCTATAGAACGCATTTTAGGCCTATATAAGAAAAAATTGGGAGTTATAACGTATTGAGATCGTCAAAACCCGATGAAGCTGCTCTATTTTACATATAATATGTTCTATACTCAACTGATTTATTCGTAAAATATTTCTTAGCTTAAATTATTAGAGGATGAAGATATCAATTAGGAATCTATAAAGCCACGTAAAATCCGTCCGTGTGACAATAATCACTCAATTTGTGATACAGAGGAATATAATTGCAATCCCGATAACATTAATATGATAATTATTAAATCATACACATAAGGGAATATTATGAAGAAGATAATGATTTAAAATGTGAAATAAGCTAACCGTAGCACGCGCAGTCACCCAGCATAATTTTTATTAGCCAGTTTTCCTAAATGTAATAAAAGCAATATTTTATATCAATTAAATATAATTTTATTTTTTTTATTTTTTAAATGGATTTGCTATGTTTTTGATATCACGCGATTTGGGTCTATACATAGCTAATAATACTCCAGTCTTGTATTTATATTCCTCATTCCTCCACTTGTTAACCAGAGGAATGAGTTAACAGTGTGTTGATTTAGATTG